AGACAGATTAGGTAGATGGACGCTGGTCTGTGTGGTCAGCATAAGGCAAGAGCCAACCTCTCGCTAAGGCAACCTTGAATGCCTTTTCGCAGGGAGAAATATCTGGCTAGTGGTCCACAGGCCACACTTGGCTCTCTGTGAAAATTCAAATCAGAAGTATTTCTTAAAGTTATTTGTTTTTTAAAGAGTAGAAAGGTTTTTCCATCATAAACAGAAATGTGTTCACATTGTTAACTCCTCTGCACCTCTCTATTTGGGTTTTGTGTGTAAAGGCAGGCAGCCTCCCCCCCTCCAGCGAATGCATTTAGTTTTAAAGAAGTGATTGACTGCAGTTAAGAGTGACATAAATATCCCATCATTGAAGGCATATTGTAAAATCCTCTGCACACAGATTAGAAGCAAAACAGTAAGGTTAAGCATTCAAAAACTCCCCTTGGCCCTAGCCAGCATGACCTGTTTCATTATAGTATATAACCTCTGCTCAGGAAGTCATACAGAAGGGCAGCCCCTACCCTGCTGTTTGGAAAACTGACAACACAGAGGCCAGTCAGTCCTGCTTTAGAGACATAGTCTTGCATACACCCATCACCAGCAGGAACTGCTCCAAGATGGATGAAAAGAATTCCAAAACTGTATCAGCACTGGGGTGTATTTCTCCTCAACATGCATTGAAATTCACACACACTGCTATAGGCAGTTGATAAATATTGTTATCAAAACAAAACAAACAGGATGCTGCTAGCACACAGCAACCAACAGCAGTGCTTGTGTATCTTTGAGACTGGAGGGTCATTCAAGTTGACAACATGGACACCACAAGTCATGATGTGATTATATTGCTTGCTACTGTGGTACAGTACTGCTACTGAAACACCAGAATATGGCAATCTACGGAGGACAAAAGTATTACCCCCAACTCTGTTTTTCCAGTTGAGAAGACACAAAGCCTCTCGCCAGGTTCCAATAACAGAAGGATGCTAAGCTTCATGGTAGAGTTTTCATATCACTTTCTAGGATGTCATAGCAAGATCTCCATTGTAGTGGCACATTTAAGTACAAGTGTGGACAAAACATAGTACTTATGGTACTGTCCAATTATGAAGGGACCCTGCAATAGCTTTAGACATCACACCTTACCTGTAGGCCAAAATAAATATAGATGACGCATTGTACCAAGAAAATTCAAGAACTATTATTTGCATATTCTTTGAAGCTCCTCAAGGCAAGGCACTGTTCTAGTTAACTTTGTGACAACCCTCCAGGACAAAAGAGGTTGAGAAATAATGTGCGGGTCATAAGGCTACCTGCATAGCTTCATTCCTCCATCACCCTCATCCAGCCCGTAGTCAGCACACCACACAGGTTCTTGACATGAGAGAAACCTCCCACAAGGATGGTAAAACATCCAACATCCAGGTGTCCCCTGGGCAACGTCCTTGGAGACAGCCAATTCTCTTACACCAGAAGTGACTTGCAGTTTCTCAGATCACTCCTGACATGAAAAAAACAGGTTCTTGTGGCCACGGGGGAATTTCTTAGGGTTTAATTAAAGATCTCTTTCCCTTTAATGCTATGAAATGCTTCCCCTACTCTACACTCCAAAAGCTTCTTATGGATGGTTTAGAAGAAGGGGGGGAAATTAGGCTTTGTATCGCTCTCCAGTCAGGATAATGGTGTCCTCAAAAAGGACTGTACAGAACTAAATGCTCCCTGCGCAAGTTTCCCTTCATTATCTTGAGGTCTGTGGGAAACCTAAGCTTCCCAGCACTGGGTGATGTCCTTTCCTTAAACTAAGATTGTGCTAAAGCCCAGTTTGTGTATAACCTGTGCTTGAATAGAGAAAAGGGAACTAGCAAGTGAATAAATGATTGAAAGAATAAAATTCTATACAAATGTGTTGCTGCTGTGTGCCTTCAAGGCATTTCCGGCGTGGCAACCCTAAAGTGAACTTGCCATAAGCGTTTCTTGGCAAAATTTGTTCAGAGGGCATTTCCTCTGAAGCTGAGAGAGTGTGACTTGCTCAAGGTCAGTCATTAGGTTTCCATGGCCAAGCGAGGATGTGAATCTTGGGTCTACCAGTCTTCTAGTTCAACATTCAAACCAAATCTATACCACAAAAAGATGAATTGTTTGAGCTGAATAAATGTTACAGATTTGTGTCTATTTGTTTTTGCATAATCTATTCCTCTTCTGCTAATTTAAAGGACTGGCAAAGAGGTATATGCAGATCACTAAAGCTTTACCTCTTGATCCCTGGGAATCTTGTTCAGAACCCCATCAAGCGTTACTGGGTCAAGCCAATCTTTTTATTGTGGGAAAGAAACATGACCTTTAATCATACAAAAAACAAACAGAAGAAATATTCTCAGAATGTTTAACTTAGAGTCTGATACCCGCATCTCACTTGTGTGTGATGCAACTATGGGAGGGAAAGCCAAGGATTTCCATATTGGAAGTCCCTCACTCTATCCTTGCCATCTTCAGTAAAGAGAACTCAAGATGGAAAAGACATTAAACTCAATACAACAGTATTCCCCAATCTAATACACACTTGATGTATCTCACAAACCCCATCACTCACACCCTTTGGTGAGGATGATATGCATCACAGTCCAACATCTCTTGAGGGGGGAAACAAGAATGGGCAATTTGGAAGTCCCTGAACAGATGCAGAAGTCGAGTGGGTAGAGATCAAAAGACAACCTGGCAAAATGGCATTACCTAGAAGAATCTTCCACCTTGTGAAGAATCTTCCACTCTGAAGCAGAACAAACAACTCTGCACCTGTATGCTTGCCCACAATGCCCTGCCTCATGTACAGAGGAAGAATTGTTTAAAGCCACAGGCAATGCAGTCACTGTTGTCTGTTTTTGGTCAATAATTATTTAACAGATTGTTCTTCTATTTTTATCGGTTTTATACATACTTATGCAATAGGGTCACCCGGTGGCACAATGGGTTAAACCCTTGTGCTGGCAGGACTGCTGACCAAAAGGTTGGGAAGTGGGGTGAGCTCCCATCTGTAAACTCCAGCTTGCAGATGGGAAAAGCCTCCCACAGGGTGGTAAAACATTTGGGTGTCCCCTGGGAAACGTCCTTGCAGACGGCCAATTCCCTCATACCAGAAGCGACTTGCAGTTTCTCAAGTCATTCCTGACACACAAAAAATATTATTATGCAATGCTTTTGACACAAAATAAAAACCTCTTGAGAGCACCAGGTTGGAGAAGACTACTGTACTGAATCAGTCTGAACTGGATACATCTCTTCAAGACCGCTCAGATATCACATATCAAAATATCTGTTGTGGACCACTTCACGGACAGACCTGAATACAGTAGCCTACTTGGTCCAACCAACGCTTTTTGAAAATTTAATAGAAGCCCTTCTTTCTGATTAGTAAATTAGTCCTTACCATCTTTGTCACATTCCTATACATCAGGGTTTCTTGCTTTTTCCACTCACAAGCCCTTTCGCCCAAGGAATGTTGACATATGTAGGTATATGAAATAGTATCAACATTAAACATTTCCTGAAAATAAACCAGCATTTGCAAGGCTTGCTAAACTGGTGGATTTTTCTTTTTGTGCAGCACAGCTGAAGCATTTTCTGCAGAGTTCACTGTAAACCCTACACACTGTTGCTAACAGATTTGTGTAAATAGGAAACGTTCAGGAACCTTTTACTTTTGCCAAATTTTCACTGAGCTAAGGGAACTCCATCTGGGTCGGAACCCACAGTTTAAGTAACGCTATACTCTATAGCAGGCATGGGCAAACTTCAGCCCTCTGGGCCTTTTGGATCTGGCGGGCTGAACTCTTGTGCCAGCAGGATTGAAGACAGACAGGTTGAAGGTCCGAATCCAGGGAGAATGCGGATGAGCTCCCTTTGTCAGCTCCAACTCCCCATATGGGGACACGAGAGAAGGATGGTAAAACATCAAAACATCCTCAGCAACATCCTTGCAGGCAGCCAATTCTCTTACTCCAGAAGCGACTTGCAGTTTCTCAAGTCACTCCTGACACACACATACACACAAAAACGGCTGTTAGAAATTGAAATCCAAAACACCTGGAGAGCCAAAAGCTTGTCCATGTCTGCCCTATAGTCTTGGTGGAGTCTGCATTTCTTGGGACTTGCTGACCCCACAAAACCTTTCAAATGAAGCATCTTTCCATTTAGTCAATCAGTCTCTACCATTTTCTTCCACATTCCTATATACTGCATAACCTCTTGGGTCTTGCTGACCCCATTTAACCTCTACTTCTCTCTCATGCATATATATATATATGCACACAAGCGTGCAAGCTGGCTGTACACTGTTTGGGGGGGGGGGGTTGGGTGACATAGAAAACAAAAAGGGAGCAGCAGCTTTCCAGATTCACCTGTCACACATTCCTTTATTTTCTTTTTGTACAAATCCAACGGCACCCATGTGATTCAAATCCATGACACTGTGTTCCTGTTCCATTTCTAAACAAATAGTAATTTTATGCACACATTCCAATGCCACCCAGTCTCTCTCCAGCCAAGAAGCTGCAGCCTCTTCCTAACTAATACATCCCAACATTACATCAATAGCCATCCTCCCTTTCTTTGTATCCACTGGCATCTGTGTTTTCCATGCAATCCTCCTTCCAAAAACATCTCTCCAGAAAAACACCTCACAATAACAGCCCATGCTAAAAGCAGAAAGGTTTTTGCTGCAGGGAAATATCCACTAGCTAAAAATAACACCAGAGGATCCCTTCCTGTGCTTCCAAAAGGAAATGAATTCAATCCCTGAGACTTTTTGATGCCATGGCAGCTCCAAGGCAGAAGGGGAGACCAGGTTGGGGCTGAAAAGGAGAACGCCCAGATAGGAGAAAGAGCTCAAAACATCACACAATGCCAAGGCAATGGGAGGCAAAGAGGGTGCAGAGCCTTGCAGCCTCTTTCCTAGGGTAAGAAAATAAAAATAATGTGTGCAAATAAAAAGAGAGTTGCAAGAAGAGCCTTACCTGAATTGTTATCCATGGCGTGTCTCTTTTCCTCCCGTTGTGAAGGTGGAGAGAAAAGAGGGAGAAGGGAAATGCTCTGAGGATGTTGTGTTGTGTGGCAAGAGAGGGAAAGACTGGGTTTCCCAAACGGGCGACCAAGGGAGGAGGATGCGCTCAAAGGGGAACCCTCTGCGGCTGGCTTGCCCTCCTTGCTTCCCTCTCTCTCTCTGTGTGTCTGTAGGTATGTGTGTAGATCTCTCTCTCTCCCTCTCTCTCTCTCTGGACGCGTGTGTGTGCTCTGCCTGCCTGCTCTGCTCCCGCCCCGCTGCAAAATGGGTTTAAGGCTCCAGAAGGCAACGTTTTTGCTGTCGAGTGCTGCTTCCACGTGCTTCGGAGCAAAAGCTCAGGGAAAGCGGAGCGAAGGCGGGCTGGGAGGGGAGGGGGAGGGGGAGGGAGAGGGAGAGAGAGGCAAGGCGAGGTTGGAGGTTCCCGCCTTCCATCCCTCCTCTCCCCCTTTGGTTTGTATTTATATAGACACTATAGGGTTGCCCCCCCCCCCTCCATGGATGCATCCCTTTCACAGCTAAGAAGAGCTGGAGTGGCTATTCGAAGGGGAAGTCCAGGCCTCCCTTGAAAGTTTGTCGTGTCCCATTTCTCTACTAGTGTGACCTTATTAATCCAGGGTATACCCTGAGGAGATTCTAGTATCTAACTCCTCAGTGTATACTCACATCACAGGATGGATGGACACATAGATAGATAGATAGATAGATAGATAGATAGATAGATAGATAGATAGATAGATAGATAGAATACATAGATGGATGGATGGATAGATGGATAGAAGGCCTGGAATTACACAATGGAGGGTGTGCAGGTACAACTGTACCAGGAGCTCCAATTTTGTTTGCTTTGCATTGAATGTTTGTTGTAGTCCTAAGTTTCAGGGACTCTGCAGATAGGTGGCTTCTTTTGGCTGCAATCATAGGGCAAGCCACCTGTCAATTATAGTTAGGTTCCCTGGTCCCGCCCCCTTTTTGGGTTTTGGAGGGAATAGGAGCCAGTTTGGGTTCAGTCCACACAGAGAAGCCTTTCATGCAGGACATAATACCAAGAGCTCCTGTAGAAAGCTTCATCTTCTACGGCTTGGCCGGGGAGATACAGCCCCACAGCTTGGCCGGAAGATATACAGCCTTACAGCTCCTTTGCTGAAGGACTTCAGTCAGCCATCACGGAAGCCTGAATTCTTTCCCCCTGGAAGTCTACAAAGCTCTGCTTGGTAAGGGTCTCTCGTGGAAGCCAGACGCAGTTGGTAACGGGTGTGGGGGCTCCACGCCAACAGTGGCAAAGACAGACTGCCCAGATTAGAAGTTAAGGATTTCCCCATTAGTTACAGTTATGAAGATAGTGCCTGTTCCCTGTGGACAAGATTGAGAGAGAGCCAATAGACTAAGAAAGCTTTAAAGTACCTGTTTGTTTTCATTAATAAAGAACATTGTTGAACCTTTAAGCAATCTAAAGACTCTGTTTTAAGGAAATCCAAGGGCCTTTAATCTGAGGAAGCCCTGGCTTCCCGTTGGGCACACAGAATTTATGTCCTGTCTACAGTCTTATGCACAGGCCCAGTGTGCGACAGCACAGTGTATCTGTCTATCTATATCCCCAGTATACTTGCAACACAGGGATGTGTTATTGCCCCAACTTTATTCTCCATCTGTTTAACCTCAGCAGACTCAAAGCCAAGGTTACAACAACATCTGTTATAGAACTCCAGTATGCTGATGACAATGTCATCTGTGCTCATTCAGAAGAAGATCTACAAGCCACTCTAAACACTTTTGCAGAAGCATACGAGAAGCTCGACCTGTCATTGAACATCGAGAAAACCAAAGTGCTCTTCCAGCAGTCACCGGCCAATCCCTCTCCAATGCCAGAAATACAGCTTAATGGTGTAACATTAGAAAATGTTGACCATTTCCGCTACCTTGGTAGCCTCCTCTCCACAAAAGTCAACATTGACACTTAAATACAACACTGCCTGAGCTCTGTGAGTGCAAAAATTCTGCAAATCTCTTGTCTGTCTGTCTCACCAGTGTATATATGCATCACAGGATGGATAGAAAGATAGATCTCTCTGTGTATCTATCTTATCTCCCCAGTGTATACCCATATCACAGAATGGATGGATGAATGGATAGATAGATGTGTGTATATCTATCTAACTCCCCAGTGTATACCTACATCACAGGATGGAGAGATAGAGAAATAGATAGTTAGTTGTGTAAATCTATCTTTCTCTCCAGTGTATACCTGGATCACAGGATGGATCGGTGGATAGAGAGACAAAAACGACAGACATATATATACACACACGAACACCCTATCCGGTGTCTGTGTGTGTGTGTAGGGACATGGAACGGCAAACATATATGTGGTTGTAAACATTGGTGGCTTGTGGGGGTGGGGATGGGATGTTTGGGGTATACATTGGGGGCATATATTATATGGATGAATGCACTGAGGACTTGCAAAACTATACAGGGATGTACACAGAAGGGTTGCAAAGATGTATGTGTGCGTGTACACATTAGGTTCGCATATGTGTGTGTGTGTGTATATATATATAAATATACACCAGAGGTTACAAATATATCTGTGTGCATGTGTGTATACATTGGGGTTGTATATATACAGTATGCATGCGTGTGTATACACTATGGTTTGCAAATAACAGGGGTGTATACATGGAGTGGTTGCAAATCTATTCCTGGGTGTATACATTGGAGGATTTACAAATATATATATTTGCAATCCAATTGTATATGCTCCTATTTAGTCAAGCTGTACATGATGTATGAGACATTCAGGAGATAATTATAAAGGAGCTATATGATTTTCAGGGTGGAAACATAAAACAAGGGAGGAAAGATGACAATAATAATAACAATTAAAATAACAATCCAGCATTATAAGAAATTAAGAGCATGTACATATGGGACTGCATATATACTGTATGTGTATATGTCCGTGAGAGTGCAGATTCCAGAATGATGTTCAGGATGTATACTTATATCCTATCCGATTTGTCCAATCCATTCCTTTGGGCTTCACGCAAATCTACAATTTGCCAAAATATGCAATCCTGTGCTTTTCTTTTCCATTTCTGACCAAATAGCTTAATCATTGGTTCGTCCCATCGAATATGGGGTCTGCCCAAGGACCGCTTGTGGTCTCTTGGTATCCAGTTCATTAGTGGACATGTTCATTGGTTGTCTTTTGTTCGTGCTATATGCCCTGCTCCCCACCTTCTTTTTGCCTCATAAATTTCATTGATCACCTCTTGTACCCCGGTTCTTTGAGGTGGCTTTTTATCTCTTATTGTCACGTCCTTTTTTCTATTGCTCTCTGAATCACTGTCAGTTTTTTCTCCTCTAACTTTGTTTCCCATGTTTCAGATGCAGATAACATTGCTGGTAGAACTGTAGTGTTCCAGTGCTCTGTCCTTAGCATCAGTTAGCACTGTCCGGTTTCGATTAAAAGCAATCCAAATAGCTTTTCGTCTTCTTGCCCATTTAGCCATTTTCCAAATTATTCAACTATACTTGTTGTCCAAGATATACATATTCAGTCAGTTCCTCAATTTCATCTCCATTTAGAACGATGCGGCCTTGGACACACGGCTAATTTTTCATCCATTTCGTTTTCTTCAAGTTCATTTCCAGTCCGGCTGATTTTGATAGTTGAGCTAGTTGTTGGAGATCATGTTGTAATTCTTTTGGCGAAGAGGATGCAATACCTATAGGGAGGGAATACACGGGAATACCTACATGTAGGTGTGTGTGTATATATATATATGTGTGTGTGTGTATCTCTGATATATATATATACACACACATACATAGATATACATACATATCAGAATTATTATGCATGTGTACATTTGGTGTGTACTAAATACTATTCCAAAATTATTATTATTATTATTATTATTATTATTATTATTATTATTTCTCACCTGCCTTTCCTCGTGGCTCAAGGAGGGTTACAAAACAATTAAAATACATAAACACAGCCAAAACACTACAAATATACACACTAAAATTTGCCTCCATAAACGTTACACAAAAAAATGTATCTATATGAAATACATATTAACACAGACAAAACAGAGATTAAACAAAGGACATGCATTAAAATTCAAGTTTATGTTTAAAGACTGGGTAGGCCTGCCGGAAGAGATAGGTCTTTGTTTGTGTCTTGAATTCTTCACTTCTGTCTTAGCTGTCGGAGCTCTACCAGCAGGTCATTCCACAACCTTGGGCCGGCCGATGAAAAGGTCCTCTCAGTGGTGGTGGCAAGTAGGGTTCTGGCTGGTTGGAGCAGATGCCTCCCGGAAGACCCAAGTGTGTGGGGCAGATTGTTTGAGAGAAGGCAATCCTTTAAGTAATCTGGACCCAAACCATGTACTTACTTACTTACTTACTTACTTACTTACTTACTTACTTAGGCGATCCCTCGTTGGACGAGTAAGATGGT